ACTCCAAAGGTTGAAAATACCTATGAAAGGAGATTGCTGAAATGATAACAAATTTAAAGGGGAAATTGATGGTCCACTCAAGGTCAAGAGAGAATCCAAATAGGTTGTGTAGTGCAGTGAAAAGAGCCATTCAGCACAATAAGTTTTGCTAAGGAGTTTTATATAGGAAATTGTAATTACTTTATAGGTGGAGAGACAAACAGCAGCAAAATAAATAAACAAATATATAAAATAATAATAAAAAGACACCCACCCACACACCCACGTGCCCCAGAGCCCACCTTTACCAGCCTTGGAGAGCGTTTGACTGCTCACATACTATAGACGGAAGTGTGGGTAAGCAGCGTGGGTGTTAAAAAGATAAATAAGAGCATTGAGGTTTGAAAGGACTTGGAATTGATTGATTACTGGAAACTTGAATGCTTTTGACTGATCTAGTTTGTGTTTTGTTTACTCAGGAAGCTTGGAAACTTGCAAACTGATCAGATGAAAAACTTCTTGTCCTCTACATTGTCAATATTAATACATAAATGTAAATGACAGACGTACAAATATTTTTGTATGTTTTTATCACTTTTTTTGGATATTCAAAAAAAGAAACAAAAACAAACACTAAAAACAAACAAAAAATTACTGAGACTAGCATGTCTCACTTCACATATTAGAAGCTTTTGAATGTTGAAGACTGAAAGCTTTGTTACCTTTCTAAAAGAGAGCAAGAGGAGCCCTCCGTGTCGCACCGAGTCAAGTCCCTGACCCTCCACAGCATAAAAGCTATTGACAGTTTTAGAGTTGCGGATTCGGAGACACTCTTTGTCTGAAAATCTTCCTCATTTGCGTGCACAGTTGACATGTTTGAATGCAGAGAAACGTCGCTTTGCTCTCACCGTTTCCTTCTTTACTCCTGCATGCTCCCTCTTTATTCCTGTAGCATGCCACATCACATCTGCTGTCTGAAAGAGACTAAGACTGATGTCTGGACCTCTAGGATTTTTTTTGATGCACGTCTTTGCAAGGGGAAAGCTTTGCAGAGGCAATGAAAGAGTGCTGTTCTGAATCAATTGATACTTCATGATGTTTGTTTACTTGTGTGTCTCCTCTATTCAGAAGGAAGACAGCAGCAGAGCTCACAGACAGCTGTGTCCTTATTGATTTGTTCCTGTGAGGCAGACATTCAGTACTCAGAAGGAAAACATCTGAACAAGGATTTACACAGGTCAGTTTGTAGCTGAAAATCTTCAATGAAACACTATTTTTGTTGTCTTCTAAATGGGATGCAAAGATGCACTGTACGTCCAAAGGTATCTACCCATCTAGTGAATATACGGTTCACTAATATATAAGGACCACTATTATATCACTATTATAATCTCCATAGACCACTATTATATCACTATTATAATCTCCATAGAAAAGCATTGCCAATAGAATGGGATGATAATGAGCAGCCACAGTAACCCAGTGTCAAGTTAGAGGGGTATATAGCCCCCCCACCCCCCGAATTGAGTCGCGCTCTTTGGAATGCTACAGCACCATCCAAAAACTTTAGGGTGAGTTGGAGTGGTGTTTGTGATCCAGACCTAATCATCCAACACCAGGACCTTATCTCATTAATGCTCTTTTGGCTGAATGCAATCAAATCCTCAAAGCAATGTCCCAGCATCTAGTTTTAAGCCTTCTAAAAAGAGTGGAGACTGTTACTGTAGCATAGAAGGTGCAACAATCCTAATAACACCCTTGATTTCAAAAGAACTACAATGTTTTGGACATACAGTATATATGCTGCCATTATTTGAACATTTTCAAGATGTATTTTTTCTATCAATTAGAAATCATGTTCATCTTTTTTTAACTAATTAACCCCTTAAGCTACAGTCTTATTAATCTCTTTTGAATCTAAAAGAATAAAGAATACTCATACAGCATTTTTCAACCTAATCTTTATCCAGCCCATCTGTAGCATATGGTCGTTTACCATAAGTGATTTTGATGTACTGTATTCTTTTCAGACTATTCAGTGGCTACTTTAATAATTACAATATTAGAATTACTATGAAAGTAAGTCATTTAGGCACACATTACTGTAAGGAATTGAAATACCAAATTGCCATACAGGTCCTGGCAGTTTAGGGGTTAAAAAGTATTAGTACTGTTAGTATAAGATTTCACAGAGCGAATTTAAGGAATTAAAACTAAATGGTCACCAGTAAAAGTTTTCAGTTTAGGTCAGATGAGCATGAAGTTTTGCTTGGGTCAGTTCAAGGCACACATATCAAAAGCAGGTTAAAGCCTCCTGCGTTCCATAAATAAGAGTGTTTGAGAGTCAGTTAAGCTGGGCTTGGAATAGAAGGAAAAACAAAAAAGTCCTTTGTAAAACAGCTGTTCAGACAAGGACCAAGATCCGTAGTGAAAAACGGGACGCTACCTTGAACTCTCGGTTTAACTGGCCGCCTGATACAGTAAACGTTATTAATAAGTGAATGAGCGAGTTCTTCTGCCGATATCACCAGGAGAGTTTTCTGCCGAATCCCGCTCGGAGTGGAACCAGATGCAGATAGCACTGTGTGATGAGAGGAGATTTATGTCACTCCACCAGAGGGGCCTAACTGTTTTCAGGTGGATTTGACCCAGTTTCAGTCCCATTAATCATGATTATTTATGTTCAGAACATTTGTCAGAAGCACACTACATACACATATAGCTAAGCGCCCACTGCTCTTCTGCTACTAAGTTCGTTTTCTCACACGAGCCCAGATGGGGAAAGTTATGGTCACTAGAGAAAGCCAGGCCACGAGCTGATCTGCACATACTAAGTCGCTTTTATTAATACAGAACTGCATGCTACAGAGACTGTACAGCATAAACATTTATTCATTACAAAAACATGGTTTGGGAACCATTTCAAATAATGGAAAACAAAAGAAAACAAAACAAATAAACAAAACAAAAAAAAAAAATCAAAACAAAGCAAATAAAAATAAAAGCTAAGAGCGTAAAACAGAACAGGAACATCACAGCCGTTAAGGAAACATTCAAACTATTCATCATTAGCATCTTAATAAACCAGAGAAGAAATCGACGGCTTACAGTCGCGTCATGTCAACTACAATGGCACCGAATGGATGATTCTCTTGTAGCTTTTTTACAGCTTCTTGCAACATCAACATGCCTATTTTTTCTATCTACCTATATGTAGTAGTGTACTTAAAAGTGGCAGTTTGTGTATTTTTTTGTGTTATTTAATAGTTTTTTTATGAACCTCCTAATATACATAATTTGGCCCTTGAGGGTTTATACAGTATGACGTCCGTCTTTTTATTAAGTTTAAATTTTAATATTTGACAATCTGCTACCAAACACATTTGTTATAGCAACATTTATACTACATACATAGCAATCTATGTAACGTCACAGCAAAGTATGGTTGAAAAAGAAAAAACAAACAATTGACAACGAAAGCCTACAGCGTAATAAGAGGGGGAGTGAAAATTATCACAAATTTTGGCACGGAAAATCTGTACACAATTCTACAGTCCGGTGGAGATGAGACTGTGCAATAAAAAAGACGGGCTTTAGACGAGATCCAACTACTAAAGACATGGTACCCACTGTCCCCATTTCAAGTTTTCTTTTCTTCTATTGTAAAATGGCTTATAGATATGCTTCTAGAAATTAAGTTGTGCATACATCTGTTTTGGAGAATCTACACTGTTTTGGTGGAATCCTGGTCTTCAGCAAAACAAACGTATGTTAAAACAATAAAACAATTTAACTTCAAAACCTCCTTGTAAAAATGGATCATTTATATATATATTTATATAAGTTGCTTACATTAAAAAAAAGAATATTTGTACAATGTATTAAGAAAAAGAAAATATTCCGAAAAGGGACAACATACAGGATACGACAAGCAATCTCTAAAGCAATAAATACTACTGGTCCTAGCGTTGTGACAATTTGTATTGAATACCCCAATCCCTAACCCCCACCCCATCTCAAAACAGTTCCTCCAAAGTGAGTCTAGTCAACCCAACCCAACTCAAGCCCACTCCCAAGGTAAACAACGACAAAAATAAAAAATAAAATAGACAACGCAATGGAACAATGCATATTAACACAGTAACCCCCCCAGATATTTCTGTACATTTAAACAAGAACAAGTAACATCACAATTAAAGTTGTTCCTCGGTCGTAGAAGTGTCTCCACGGTCCTCGTGCCCTCCGTGTTTTGAACAGGTGTAAAATGATTGGTTCGCAAGCTCGTATTTAATACAAATAATGAAGTAGAACCAACTCTTAAGAAAAGGGCTCACTGAATCCTCACTTAACCTACTTTTATATCTGTCTTTGAACCGGTCTATGTCGAACTACATAACAATTATGGATTTTTCTGTTGTACAGTTGAACACAGTTGAACAAGTTAAAAATTTTGGCAGATTCACAAAGCCATACTCTACAACTCATTGTACTTTATTATCAATATTATAATTATAATAATTTCTTTTATTTTAGATAATGACAGGTCAAATATTGACCAATGAACTTTGATAAAAGAATTAACTAATTTCCAAAGCCATATGGCACAGAAAAAAAAGAAACAGAAACGAAAAGAGGAAGAAGAGAACATAAAAAACATAAGAGGCAGCAGACAGACGAGAGGAGTCAAAAGCTGGTAAAGCAAAGCTAGTCTAGCCTAGTCTATTGACTTGGTTACGAGCGAAAGTGGTTGCGTCGGGGCAGAGCTGGGCAGCAGAGAATGGGAATGACACGCTGATGCAGGCCGGGAGGAGGCGGAGCCTGAAGGGCGGGACGACGACGACGACGACGACACGTCTGAAGGGTCCAAGGAGCCGTTGTGGGCGGAGCCGGGCGTTTTGCCTGCCCCTGAGTTGTCCAGCAGAGCTAAGGGCGGAGGCATGGTGAGGTGTTGGTGTGGGTGGTGCGAGGACGAGACCAGGGGGGCCGGTTTCATAGTCAGTGATAGAGGTTGCATTTGTTCAGTCTGTGGTTTGGACTCTTTCGAGGGCGGGGAGGTGGTGACCATGGAAGGGGAGGATGGGGGGGACTCTAGTAAGCTTCCATCCGAAGAAGGAGGACTGGCACAGCTGCCTTCACCTTGAATGTAGCGAATGCACTTCTTTTTTCTCCTGCGAACAGAGAGCAGCCTTGTTTTAAACTCCTACGTAATCTCTGCAGTGTTTTCTAACTTGCCGAGAGGCTTGTTTTACCGGAGCCTTAGCACCCATTTAAATGCACATTTCCAGCACCACCAAACTTCTGCATATATGTATGTGTCCACCGGCAATATTCAGTGTGTAAAATCGACAGCTCTTCAGCATGACTGAACATTTTCAGATATCGATTCATAACCTTGGGTAAGATAGTGCATCTAATTGGATGCTATTGCTTTCTGAGAACGCCAATACAAACAGATGAGCACCTGAGCACTTTTTGCTCTCTGCCACTGACTCCCTCTCACCTTCCATCCCATTACGTGCATGCAGAGGAGGCGGGAGAAAGGGGAGGACACAGAGGAGAGACAGACGAACAGATACACAGATGCCAGACAAGAAGACAGTGAGAGGAGGATGGGGAAAGTGATGACGAGAGGCGGAGGGAGGAAGAGTAACCGCCTCCGAGGCTCGGAGGGACACAGTCAAAGAGGTGAGCACTATATATCCGCCTTTGTTTTCTCCTAGCGAGATAACAGAACGAGCTCTAAACAAAAGAACTCCACCTCGGCGCGGCAAACCGCAAGGGAACCCATCCGGTTTACACATCAGCTTGAATTATTACACTCCTCTCTTTTGCTTCCTTTTTTCATGTCTCTTTCCTGCTTTTTTCTGCACGTTCCTTGGGGGGGAGTTCAGATGGAGAGGTAAGAGGTTAGAGGAGATGCGCTACTCTCAGCCTGCCCCTAAGACATGTGTGTGAGCGCTGTGCACAGAGGTCGCAGCGCCATGTTTGCATTTCTGCTCGGGTCAGGACCCTCCCTCGTCTGCTACGCCTACGGCCAGCCATCCCAGCCAGCCACACGGGCAAAAGCTCACCAAGCGCCAAGCCAGTACGCCGAGAGGGGCGGGCGAGGGAGCGCAAGAGACAGAGTGAGATATTGAGTGAGAGTGTGAGAGAGCGAGTGAGCCAGCGAGAGAGAGAGAGACAGAAGTACAGAGTGAGAGAATTCCATGTCTCCAAGGTGACTGGATACATACCCTGTTTTGAATCAGGAGGAGAGAAAAAGAGAGAAACCAGAAAGAGAGAGAGAGGGATGGAAAAAGAGAAAGAGCGAAAGCCTCAGTGTACCTTGCCCTAGCCTGACCTGACCAACCCCCACCCCCCCTTTGCCAAAAAATACAAAAAAATGGTAAAATAAAAAAAAAAATCTTTCTATCCTGCCTAAAGGCCAAGTTAAGCTATTCAGCTTCCACTACTGCAGGACTGTAAGGCAGAGATAGAAAAACAAACAGTGGGTACATGAAGAGAAAGACAGGGGGAACTATGGAGTAATGAAACATGGAGTTCAGTGAATGTAACTGTAACCCTTTTTATTATTAGCCATTATAAATCCTATTCAAATCCAGGTAAGGATTGTTTCCTAAGTTATACCCCTGCCTGGTCTTATGCAGGTATAGGTTTGAGACAAAAGTGCAAGAGAGAGAGAGAGGCAGAAGGACAAGGACAGAGATACAGACTGTCTGGCGGACATATTTAAGAGGCAAGGGGGTGAAAGGAAATGGACAGAGTTGAAGAAAGAAGCAGACACTTTGATCCAGACACATACCCTGTGTAGGCAAAGGGCAGGCAGAACTGAAGACATGCATTGAGCTGTACAGGGTCATGAAGAAGCACCATGGTAATCAAAGATGGATGAACAGACACTTACAGGAAAGGACAGATCTGTTAATGGCAGGCTTCATCTTGCGGACTGTAGGAGTAGCATAGTTCGGGAGTGTTCTACAGTTTGAAAACGCTTCACTTTGCAACGTTTTGAAACACTCTGCATGCGGCCTGGACATGCTCCATAGAGCAGCTCAGGCTAGCTCTGCCCTAACTGCCTGTCAAAAGGCTGCAAATAAGCTAATATCCATTTTTTAAGATCCCTATTGATTCTAAATATCTTCCCGTGTTCTTTATTGATTTCTGCATCTCTGGGGGAATTACGCCAGATGCATCTTTCAGGAAACGGTGCTGAGCAGGGTCTTTTAACCTCCCAGCTCCCTAAATAAGGGCACAATTACTACCGCTTCTCCCAGCGCATCCAGAAACACCCAGACCTTTCCTCTGAATGTTTACAGGGCACTGTGTAAGGATATGTGGCTGGGCTGCTACACTCTGAAGTACCTAACTGCTTATAGGGTATAGTTATATAGTGGTTGGTGATGTATGTCTTACAGCAGTGTGGAATGAGTTCTGAATCAATGGATCATACGTAAGAATTTACGGTGGACTAAAAGAAAGATGATGGAAATGGGTTGCACATAGCATACAGTAGTATGACACAACAGAACAGGACAAAGTCTGGCGCCTGTGATGAGGGCAGGGGGTGGAGAGAGCACAAGTGTGACACAGAGAAGGGTATTACTTAGCAGAAACAAATACCTACCATCAACATATTCCCAATTCAAAGACTGCTTGTGTTAGAACAGAAAGACAAGAGGTTGGGACTGAGTAAAGGGTTATCAGAAAGGGAGGGGGGGTGAGGAGTGAGGGCAAGAGGCTACATCACAACAATGTTTATATAGTAGGCCAATTAAGACTGTTATGTAAGCAGAGATAAACCACAGGGCAGAAAATGGATCATTCAATGGACTTCAATGGATAACTGGTGCTTTGAATGAGAAAATGCTACTGCTTCAGTTCTTATGGATGGTTATTTTTTTATGTTTTGTAGAAAGAATTTAGAATGTAGCAAGAACCCAAAAGGGCTGCAAAGGATGCCTGTTCTTAATCTCTAATAGAAATCATGGAACCTGAGCCATTTTCTTCCCTAGGACTTCAGCTGCTCTATTACAGCCTGAGATATTTCAGTGAGTGGAGAGACAGATAACGGAAATCAACCAGTTTGACAGACATTTCAAGTGAAAAACAAGGCCAAAGTGATCAGAGGTCGGAAACATATTTTAGAGCAGTGAGAAGAAGAAATTGATCTTCATCTTTTTTTAACCATTAATTATGATCTACATCCTCCCAAGAGTGGCACTGGGAATATACCTGCAGGGTTTGCACCATAAACCCAGCTGGTCAAGCCCGAACAAGGCACGACACTTCTTAGGGGTATTTGCATCTGTTAGCCAAAAAAGGTAGATACAAGAACACAAGAAGGAAAAGAAAAAAAGGAACAAAAAAATGGACATGTCATTCGGACAAACAAGGCAAGTAACTAGAGCGTAAGTTTCAGCTGTGGACACTGGCATTACCTCCCGAACACTTACCAGTAGACGCCAATCCCACCCCCTCTCAGCCACTTCCCCTTCAAATCTGACCGTTTATTTGTACTGAGAGATCATATTGGGGTGAAGAGCGCTGTATGTTCAAAGAACAAACATGCGCTGCTCCAATCCGTGACAGAATTGGCTGCTTGAGTGGATTATAAAACTGAGGCCCAGCTCTATGAACCCAGCTCAGTTCCTGGATTATGCCATTGCATGTGCATGCACACTCAGTTCACATCCGAAACACAGTCATACAGCATTTGCGGCTCAATAAAGCACAAGTTCCCTATGTGGCGGAAGCAGCTGATTGGTAGAGTAAGGGGTGGCATGGAGAGAGAGAGAGAGACAGAGAGGAAGAGAGCAGAGGGAGGAAGTGCCAGTGTAAGAGATCCCCAGCTGTCACCTGCTCTAGCGTACCTGCCAGCACACACCAGATACACACCTGCACGGGCCACACCAGTTATTCTGCTGATCGAGCCCAAAGCGTGCACGACACTTCTTAGGGGCACTCAGGTCTGACCCGATGAAGTGGGAGGAAGCCAGCAGAGGGAAGGAGAAATGACAAAAAAAAGTGTAGAGAGAGGGAGGGAAATAAAACGGAAACCAATGAATCTAAAATCACTCTGAATCATGGCAATTCATAATTGTTTCCCCCATAGACAGGTTTAAATTATGGCATTTAATTGTGCAGTATTCCTTTACAGTAAGGACTGCTATTTAATGTTAGTGTTTCAGAAATTAGTAAAAGAGAGCAAAAAGAAAAGCCAAACCACAAGCAAATAAGGGTAAAAGTAAACAAATAAGAAATTAAACCAAAAAGCAGCACGCACACAGGCTTTAGACGCACACAGAAACTTTAGAACAGGACCCAAATAGCAGAAACTACAGATTAGAGGATAGTAGAGAAATAAGCATAAGTATAAGCTTGTTTGTTAAAAGCAGCAGATATGGTTACACATCTGCTAAATAAGGCCTGCCATTAACTCTCCATTCTAGGAAATGAGGGGACGAGGGACAGAAGCAGCAAAGTAGGAGTAATCAGGAGGTGGAGTGTTGGTTAGTTGCAGCCAGCGAAACGTTACAAAGCCAGAGACTGCAGTGAACTCAGCTCGGGCCTGCGTTCATCCACCTCTCACACCAGCCCTCAGGAGGGCACGGGCAGGACAGTAGAGGAGGGAGTTTGCGAGCGGGGCTGGAGGCAGGCCCGGAGCTTGAAGTCAGGCTCAACAGAGACAGGGCCGCCCCCGCTCTCATGCTGGAAACAGGCAGCTACTGAAGCCAGTAGATTAAGGAGGTTTACCCTGATAACATCTCTGGTTATTTTCAGCATTCAAAGATTCTCTTTGGAACAGTCTTTTCTATAAATATATACTGCAACTGGTGTTTGCCAAATGAGCTTTATCAGTACTGGACTCTTTAACATAGGAGCATCTTTAGGAGAAATCATACCAGGACCAAAAGAAACATAACCATAATTGAATAAACATAGTAAGAGCAAAATAAAGTGAGAGTAGGAGCAAATCATAAGCGATTTCTTCTTAGAAAGAGAATTAAAAGAGCAAATGAATAAAAATAAAGAGCAAATAAGAACATGTCAGGATATAGCTAGCATTATTCATGAAATAAATGTGTTAAATATACAATATACTGCACAAACATGGATAAATAAATGTGTAATAAACTAAAGAGAAGGGGAAGAAAAAGCAAGTTAGTAATTTAAGACTTAAAATGACATTAGCACCTGTAATCGGAGGGAGTGAAAGGCAAGGATTTGGAAAATATTCTCTGTGTTCTGAAAAAAAGAACAGATAGAGAGGCCTTCAAAAGGGATTCCATGATGGGAAAAGATCGCAAATACATCATTACTGCGCATTTCTCCTTCACATCTCACAATATAGATATAGAATCAGAATCAGAAGACCAAAATAAAGAAAAAATGTCAAGATGAATAAATAAAAGAACCAGCAAACCTCCTTAATTGAAAGATATGGGTGATCATACATTTTCATTACATATGAATCTAAAGCATGCAGCAGGCACAGCCCAAAGTTAAAACCAAACAGGACAAACATGAAGCACAGTCCACTGGCATGACACAGGCATGGCAACACGGTCAGTGCTGGCACAGGACCAGCTCTCAGCAGCATGATTAACTCACACTCATTCTCAAAACACACATCTCACAGTATGCTAAATGCTGGGGGGGTTGTGGGCTGGGCCGGGAGGGACTGGGAGGAGGGGGGGGTGCAGCTGATGGGGATACTGGAAGGGGGGTTCATGCATATTCAATGTTATTAGTGCTCGACATAGGGCTAGGGTGGGGGATAACAAGCAGTCTAACGTGTAAATATTGCATTGGGTAGCATAACTATATACAAAATGAGGCAGGCACAAAAAGGGATGAAGAGGAAAAAAAGCTGGACTTTTATCTTTGAGATGTCACCCTTGTGACAGATGATGGATCTGCTCTAATATGAGACATAATTGCAGCTCACTTACCATTGCCCTCTGCTTGCTGCTTTTCCCTTTTTCTCTTCTTCTTTTTCCCCTGTTGGTTAGCCGCCAAAAAAAAAGAAAGACAGGAACCTTAGTTATTATATTGCAGAAAAGGGCCGAGACATGAAATGAACAAGAGAGACCCGTGTTTTTTACTCATTCATTTATTCATGCTGGAGCCTGAAGGATTGAACTGCCACTGCAGGCCAGAGCAGAACTTTCCCTTTCTCTCCCCTATTCTTCTCTCTGTTTCTCTGTGTTTATTCCTTTGTTTCGAGCTACTCCTTAGTTTTTCCCTCTGTTGTGAAACGATTTAAGGCTCTCGAGGTTTCTTTGAAAGACTGTGATTACTGCGGGGAGAGTTGAGAGAGGATGAGAGCGCTACTCTCGTCTGCTCGTATCTAAGCCCTTACAGAAAAGCATCGCCTCCTTATGGCCTGATGCTCTGCAAGACACGTGAGCGGCTGCTGACCGGGTCAAGCTGCTGTACCTGAGCATCTATTTGATAATTATCTTCTTCTGAGGTTGAACTACATTGAAATAAAACTGCTCTCTTTTTCAACTGGTCTTTTCTTTTTGCCTTGGGAGTCATCAGACTGCAGTAGGAGTGACAGGTTGGGGCGGAGGGTGATTTGTCGGGCGTTCGGGACGAGCGCGCGGATCTGTCTAGGCCATAAAGCGGTGTGGTCATTCCCCATTCGGGGTGTCTCAGCGGTGGAGAGAGACGTTCTCTTTCATCAGAGCTGTGGGGCGTTTAGGCCCCGCGGTTATTTAATTACTCTGATCTGAGCTCGTCTTTCTTTTTTTTAGGTGAAGCAGTGGAATACTAATGAAAGCAGCTCAGAACCTCACTGCAGAATGAGGCTGAGCGCCCGTACAGCAGAGCAGAAGCTACACTGCTGCTGAGAGCATTAGAAGCCTGCCCTCACGCTGCTGCAGCTCCACTGTAAGAGAATGTGAATGTGTGTCAGTTTGACTGTGGAAAATGAAATGACATGGTCTGAACTGCCAGTGCAAGAGTGAAAATATCCACTGGATTCCAGCATGGTTGAGCTGCACAGGTCTACACAGAGGTTTTGGAGGACATGCCCGATAATAAACAGCTTGCAGGGTAACAGGAGTCCCATAAGCAACTCCCTAAATTTCTGAGAAGAAAAATGTGCGTTACATGTTGAAAACTTAAAAACTTACATAGTTGTCACGTGCTGACCAGCCAGGGTAGAGCTGCATGTGTAGCTGTCGTTCTTTCCTGGCCAGCTCGTAGTATTTGGCCTGCTCCTCTCGAGACAACGCGTGCCACTGGACAAATTCGGACACACATGCAAACAAACAGAGAAAAATACAAACAGAAATCAACACCGTGGGTTTGAATTTCATACTTAAACAATGAAGACTCCTGTGCTGTTGTGGCTTCGGTTAGGCTGCAGTTCCCTTGCTGCTAGTTTAATGACAACTCACTTACACATGATGGCATCACTGAGCAAGATTACATTTGAGTGCAAGTGGAAATGTACAGTTCTCTAAACAAGCCGGTGTCTCAGACGAAACTGACGTTAGCTCTCAGTACTTCACCACATGCGGTATTCTGCACTAAGTAAGATATAAATGTAAAAAGACTGTGTGTGCGCATAGCCTGTGGCATTCTCACCCTTCGGCCCAGGATTTGATTGATAGCTGCACTCTCTTTCAGCGTGCATTCTGCCACCACTTTGGCCCTCATCTCCTTCATGTACAGCATGAATGCGTTCAGAGGCTTCTTTATGTGCGGCTTTTTCTTTTCATCCTCCTTTTTCGGGTCCTGATGTTTCCTGTTGAGGGAACGGAAATGGGGGGGGGGTCATTATGAAACAATGGACTGAAAAGCAGGTCAGTATGAGAAGTGTGAAGGGTTAAGTAAAGCTGTGGACTCACGAGCTGTTGAGCGTGCTGATGTCACTGTGAGAGGACTCCTGCTTGACGTTGGGCGTGACGATGGCAGGGTGAGGGATCCCCGTGGTGTGCAAACTGTGGTGGGGGGGCACCATGTGGGGAGGGAATCTGGAGGAGAGAAGACTGTGTAAATCGTCAGAGTGGACACGGGTGAAATGGGGAGGACAAACACACACAAAACAATGTTTAGGGTTACGCTGATCTAATAAACTCAGAGGGAACTGCAGATGACAAATGTTAAAATGTTTTAAAAAGACATTCTGAATATTTAGATATCGATATTTATAATTGTCCTTTTTAGGGATTTTTTTGATTTGTCATTTCTTTTAGGGATGTGGTGATATAAGAACTGGTAAACAAATGCAGATACTTTTCATGAACGTATCTGCCAGTGCCAAGGTCGATACAGAAACTTATATACCTAGGAATTAGGACTACATCTACCTGGATTAGCATTACAGATGAATGCACTTATCTCTAGAGGCTTACATATGCAGCAAAATCAATTAAATGCAGGCATTTTAGCCCAGCATCGCCTACACATTCTGATCGTATGGAGTGCAATAAATCATCAAATATTGGTCAAATCTAAGCATCTGCCCGATGCTGTTGTTTTATTTTTAAGCAAATATCTCCCAATACCGATCTGATTCTGATATCACCATGTAACCCTAGTTTCTTTGCATTTCCACTGCCAATTGTCTGATTCAGAATAATATTTTTTGCTCAAAGCTGGTCATTCTCCTTCCCCTCCATCTCCTGCTACATATCGAATTAATAAAACCAATTTCCCATGGCTATACTGATTGAAAAGATTATCTTTAATAAGATCTTAAAGACACATCATGCTGTCTCCCAACACAAAGTAATTAGCCTGAAGAAAGCCTAGATAAATTCCTGTGTGATAGTGTAGAATGCAAGCGAATATTTGTGTGTGTGTGTGTGCGTGTGTGCGTGTGTGCGTGTGTGTGTGCTATACACATAGCTGAGAATAGGAGTGGAAGATGATGAAAAAAAGAGAAGGAATATTAAAAAAAAAGAAAGAAAGAAAGAGAAAAAAAACAGCTCATTATCCGGCTGAGTCTGGCTGCATGGCTTGGAGCCAGAATATAATGATGAGCATAAACTCACAAGGAACAACTAGTTTCTGTTGGAGGCACTCTCTGGGGACTGTGTTTTTCCCCCAGTCTCTCCTCTCCACTCCTCTCTCCTCCCTTCATCCCTGACACATTTGTGTTTGCGCCATGTCATCTGCCCGCCCGCCTCTACTGAGGGGACCTGTGCAATAGCTGCAGCTCTGCCATCATTAGACCCCCCCTTTACCCCCTTCCCTGCATACTTGTTAAAATTTCCTCTGTTCCACCATCCAATTTTGCCCCCTCTCTCTTCCTGACTGTCCCAGCAGCCCCTGATCTCCCACCCCCCCCACCCCCTCCCGTGCCGTTGCCGTAGCAAGGCCTAGGTTATGGTTTAAACAAGACGGCCATCTCTTTGAAGCAGAGGGCATCATCCAGCTCATCAGCACAGAGCAGAGACCGCCACCAATTTAGCCTAACAGAGAGAGAGCGAGAGGGAGAGAGAGATAGAGAGAGAGAGAGAGGGCCCCTGCAGGCTCAGACGTCTCAATCTTCTACCTCACCAGCCGGGTGTCAGCGAGTGCCATTTAATTGCCGATTGGAGCTGTGGCCCCCGTGCCTGTTTAATGTATAATGACCCTGCTGGTGTTACTCTCTCTCCACCACCACCGCCCCCTCCCCCAGAAGAAAACGAACGGTTCGGAGCGTAGGTGCAGATGGAGAAACATATCAAAGGGCAGGCACGGGCAGGGGGGCAGGGAGCCTACACTTCCTCCCCCTGCCACTCGGGACGGGTGATGGACCTGCTTGTCTTTCACCCCATTATCAAAATAATGTAGCTCATTTGCTGGATCCAAGTCCACTCTCTCCTCGCCTTCTCAAATGTATTTTTCAGGAGGCTGCAGTAGTATCTGGGTGCAGAGTGGAGCGCTACATGGAGCCCCATGCGCTAAAGTGCATACTAAACGCCAGCCCGTGAGCCGCTATAGAGCGGAGAACAGCTCTCACGGCCAAACGCAGGGAGCGGAGGCATAAACGGCTGGACGGCATCCACTGGACATAACCCCCAAGGTCAGTGCTAATGCTGTGTGCAAGGAGGGTGCAGCCTCATAAAGCAACAACTCTGTCTCTCTCTTCTTGTTCTTTTCTCTCTCTCCCTTTTCTCTCTACCGTAACCCTTCGACAGGGGGGGAAAAAAACACAATTAACGAAGACTTCTCCTGGCGTTCATTATTTTTCCAGGAGGCAGGTGACAGTGCAGCGGTCTGGTGTGTGTGTGTGTGTGTGTGTGTGTGTGTGTGTGTGTGTGTGCACGCTGCAGTTTTTGACACAAACATGCTAAAGCACCTTCCCTGCACGCAGACAGGAGACCACCACCTATTAATCTATGCTAATTCAATTACAGATTATCAAAACACATTAGCTTTTCCCCAGCCCAGCTCCAATCCCCCTAGCCCCCATTCAACAGATTCAATTAGGCAGCACTGGAAATAGGATGATCACAATATAAAGGGCTCATTAGGGGGGAATTAGCTGTCACTTAAGCCCAGGTCCACTGGAGGCTGGTGCAGAAGCAGCAGTGTCTGCAGGCATATACAGACACCTGGGTAAGGAGCTAGCAGACCTCAGTCAGTCCTGGCAGGGCACAAAACTGCAGTCCTCTGAAACCATTGCCCTACTGCTGCCCACACAACCCAGGACACGTGGGATATCAGGGCTGTCTGCATGGACCTCCAGGAGTGAATAGCTGCTGTAAAGGCCTGCAGGCTGCTCCATACAGAGCTTTGTACTGTCATTCTAAAATAATATTCTATGGCAGTATAATACTTCGGTGGATTGTCGTCACATCCAAAACTCTTAACACCGCATACGCATTTCATGATAGCTGGAGCAATTTGAAATGATCCAAAATGACTCCAAGATAAAATTGTGTTACATTAACATGAAGTTACACTTTTTTCATAAAAGGAATATTTTTAAGTTCTTCTATTACATTTTGGAAGTTTTCTGACAACAGTGATTATATATTCTGTAAGCCTTCAGCCTATGAGTGTTATAGCTAGGACTTCGGCATGGGCCATAAAGGTAAAAATGAGGGGAAAAATGCCTCTATGATAATGCTAATTTTTGCTAGCACTCCTGTGGAATTCTAATGTATGTTAGCACTAGGCCAATACCAATTCGCATGAACAGTTTCGAAGCTCCATGTTTTACTGTAAGCTTGTACAAGATCAAAACAAGTTCAAATATATTAATATATATTTTGCTGTTGTTGGAACAAAACCTTGTATCTGTTTTTCATCGTTTTTCAGTTTGTGACATGATTTGAAAGTACCTGTTACTCTTTACATTGTGTGTAAATTTCATGATGAATGGGCCAGAAGAAATGGTCCAAAATGACTTGGGGCAATTCTGGTTCCATTGACTTACATTTAAAGTATGTTTTTTCCTTCGTTTTGGAGATACGAGGTTTTGTTCCGACAACAGCGATTTGAACTTGTATGTAGCAGTTTTACTGTGACTCCTTAAAGAACCTCTATACAGAGCTGCCTCATAAAATTGGCCCCACCCACTGAAAATCAAAATGTGATTGGTTGATTCTTCTGTCACTTCCTAGTTATGTTAGTGGCGACTCTGACAATTAAGCCTTTAGTTCAGCTCCTGAGGTCCTAACCAATAGGAGAGAGCGCTTGGCTGTATCTATCTAGATACCACAGGGAAAAAAATCCTCACTGGATAAGATTCAGTTGGGTATTTAACCAATTAGTTAGCTCCTCTGAAGGTCTAGAAGGCCCAGAAGGTTCCGCACTGCATTTAGTATACAGCTATAAATAATAATTCCAATTGCAGAGAAGGGACAAAAGTAGAGAGACTGGACGTGGTAAAATTTACAGAATGTGTTAAAGCTGGGAATGAGTTTTCTGTCACAGCTGTTGGCGGATGTGTGTTTCGAGCCAGAGGACTGGGAATGTTAGGCTATTCTACACACTAACCTCAGGTCAGGCTTTATGGGACTTACACACACGCCCTCTCCCCTCGTTTCCCTCGCTCCCTTGCTCACACTTATCCATCAACGTCCTGTGGCTCTGCAGGGGCAGCTCTCTTGAGCTGCTTTTCTAATCACACTGCAATTAAACAGGAGTTTGTCGTTGTCTGGAGACAGAGCGGGCTTCTATAAACTATAAACCAGGCCTAACTCTCTTTCTGCCTTTCAGACTTCTCTTTTCATCATCATCTTCGTCATCATCATCATCGCTGAGCGTGACATGCTGGAAGACTGAGGAGGGGAATGGAGGTGGTTGGAGGAGTGGGCAGAGGCAGCCGCCATATGGAACAGTTTGCCTTTTTCAGCTTCTCTTTTGTTTTTGAAAGACATTAAAAAAACAACAAACCATAAGGAGATTTGTCATCTACAGTTAACCCCTCCTACTTCACACAACTCAAGCAGCTAAGAATCCCCAGGGAGCATTCACAGTGACAGTAAAAACAAACTCATTCTTTTTCTTTCTCTTTCTCTCACTCACACAGACAGACACACATGCAGTACTACAAATGCTCCCTTGGGTGTGTTTGTGTCCAGATCTCCACTTGAGGCTAATGGCCTCAACAAAGCTCTCGCCCAAAGTCAAAAAACCAGGCAGTCCCACAGCCTTTACTGCTTAGCAATGGATTCATTTACTTATTTATCGGGCAGCGCCAAAAAACAGCGCAGAAGACATTCACAATCCTATCTCATCCTCTACTGTTCAGCAGGGGTAAACGCTCTTCAGGGGCCTCATTATAAAATGATAACAATAATTAATATTTGAATAGAGAGCGGAGCACTGGGGACGGTCTTTTTGAACGCTGACGCGTGAGCGGCCTCTCCTTAAGGGAAAGTTTATAGCGCGTTTTTGACGTGCCCGTTACGCACGCTAGTATTCTCCCCATGTGCGCTGTCCCAAGGCGCAACTCACCTTGACATGGATGCGTTGACAGTGAGGGCAGTCGGGTAGGGGTGTCTAAAACCTCCCGTTGTGATTGGGTAAACTGGTTGACCTTGCCTGGGAAAAGAAGAAAGGGATGGAGGTAAAGGAAGGGATGAAAAAAGAGGTGAAAAAAAAACCCACCTCTCACTCTCCATGCAGGCGGCTTTATTCTCATTTGATCAGAACAAAAATCTAGGGGATTGCAGAGCGCCGATCAAAGGGAAGCAAACTCCGAACAATTTGAATGCCACAAATCTGATAGGAATGGCTAATTAAATTTCATAACCCCGTGCTTGGTGTCGATGGAGGCCCCTCTCCCTGAGCTGGAACTAGGTGTTTTGTTGTGATAATTAAAGACGAAGCGCCGGGCCCTTTAATGGAGCCATCACGCTAATTGAGGTCTACACATCCAAAGACAAACAATAATGAATGTAAATTTATACCAAAATAAAGTGCAGAGAATCAAAGGGCCGCGGCTGTGCTCGGGGCCTCTCTCGGTATTTAGATCGCGGTGAGAAAACATTAAATTAACAGAGCTTAATTTGTAGCCTTTTGTCATATTAACAAGTGTTGACAAGAGTTACCAGGGGAGAGCCCCCGTGTGGAATTGTGGGTAAAATACTGGAATCACAGTTCATTACTCTAATTGGACAATACAGAGACATGCAAAATAGCATTTGCCACAAAGAAGCAACTTAGGGTTTAGGGGAGGAAGAAAGCCACAGTGCGTTACTGTGGGCCCCAGAGGTGCATTACTTGAATGTATAAACTGCATAGAGGGGTTGAACTAGACTTTGTGGTTTGCTGTGACCAAACACAAGTCTGAAAGAGGACCTTAACAGGCTATAGCAATGCTAGAATGAACCAAAATATTGATGTAAGACAGAGAAGGAGGGCCACAGATTGCAACAATAACTTCACAGTTACAAGGCTTTTCAAAGGTACATAATCAAAATTGTCTTTTACTGAAATATGTTAATTCAGTACTGCAGACTACAACTCAATCACTGCTGCTGTTTAGTGATGCTGACAACAAAAAGCAACAGAGTGCACATAACAAGGAGAAGTGAGGACAAGAAGACACAAAAAGAAGAATAAAATGGTTGTGCTTACTGTGGTACTAACCATCCTAGTGGATGGGGGATCTGGCCGACAGTGCCAGGCGACAGAGGGTAGTAGGGAGATATATCTGGAGGATGTGGAGGCCTTGGGATTCCTGCAACAACATTTGAGAGAAAAAGAGGGACAAAAAGAAGTAGATTGTGAAAAAAAAAACATTCGTCCACTTGTCCTGGCACAGAAATCCCCATTATGAAGTTTGACTGCTGAAAGCATCCTTTGTGGAAGGTACAACTGAAGAGAGTCAACATCACAGGGAGGTGGGCAGAGAGAAAGAGAGGGAGGGAGAGATGGAGAGGAGGGAAAAAAAAGACTGCGCTAAAACAAGACTGCTGGCCTTGTTGCAGCACGCTATAGAACACGTTTTGATCAAAGCTTGTGGAGGCAGCCACAAAGTAGCGCACAGATGAGGAAGAGGGGAGAACAGTACCCTGTCACGTTTGTCTGTTGAATCAGAGGGTTAATTGTGTGATAATTGTGGTTTAGAAATGAGCACCACCTACACTGTACTGTGTGAGAGAGGCTCAAAGATTAGCTGTGGAAATCAGGCCAAAGGTTGTGCTGTGCTAAGGTTCTTCTAGTCACTGTGCCATGCACTAAGGTTAGGCCTGAGAGTGCCAGACAACCTCCTAAAACAGCAGAACTCAGTCCAGAAGCCTGTCCACTTGGGTATTTCCAAGTATTCGAAATGCCCCTTTCATTAGAACATACTACTGATTTACCACTTCATGTACATCTACAGACACAAATACTGTGTTAGTTAAGGAAGTGCATGGCAGCCCTGACCTGGGCCAAGGTTTTTGGAAACTAACCATTTAACTACTGGTAAACTTTAATGTAAGAATATATTATATAACTTATTTCTAGACATTTTACTGGTGTTGTAACAAGCAAAATTACCTGCCAACAGAATAAGAAGGAGTAATGTTATAAGACAGTCATACAATAGTCTCATAATGAGAAATATTACATATATTCACTAGATTTAAGATGCCTTCACTTGCCAAGATATTATTTTTACAAAGTCGCTGAGGAGAACGACTGTTGTTTTTTTCTGTGTTGTTTCTGCTTGAATGTCCACTGATCTAGCTAACATTGGCTGTCTTTAGCTCTGTTCCCTATGCATAATGATAAAAATAATAATAATAATAATAATAATAATAATAATAATACTATTTTTTAAACCACAGTGACTTCTCAATTACTTATATCCTGTGACAGTGCATGTTACTTTTGAACTACATAAAGCATGCCTAGTTTTACCTAGCCCGCTAACTCATATAAATAGAATTAAATAAATGAAACATTCATTCATATATATATATATATATATATATATATATATATATATATAGCTCCTTCCTGCCCCTGCAAGGCTTTGAAACTACAACTTGACATTAGGGACTTCGCATTTGATATCAATCCAAACTAGCACAGCCAAAAGGACTGAGGTATTTCGCGTTTATGAACTGAAAGATTGGCTGAAACAAAAGCCAAAAAGAATTCCAAACTCTCCAAAACTCCAAAGGTCTATTCCAAGAGTTTCACAAAATATTTCTGCACAAAATAATTATATTTATACAATAAATAATTACATATGACTGCTTCTGCTTGAGGAACTGACTGTATTCACACAATTATACCATGTATTCCGAAGTGGCATGAGTTAATATTTGCTAACAAATGGAGCCATTCTAAAGCACAAGCTTTAGAGCAGCCTGCAATGAAACCTATTCTAAAAGCTAATGTTTCACAACTGTCACCTGAATTCATGTGTTTAAAATGTTTGTAAGCACCCTGAAGAAGGTTACCTTTTGCTTTTGTTTTTGCTCTGCAAGGCTAAAAAGTAAGGAAGACTTCAGCAGCACTACATCACAGTCTCCACAAGTAAGGGTCCTAATATAGCTCATTAATTAATTAAATGCTGAACTCAATTAAGCAGCCCCATTAAGCGCCACATTAAACAGCCTCTGAATCCTTATTGGCCCTTTGTGATGAGGATCATCATAAGAGCACTGTTCCCCCAAACACAGCAGAAAGAGTTGGGTATGGCTCCATAAACAGAGAGCTCTGACAAACTGCTGGCCTTGTTGCAGCACATAATAGAAAGAAATGCTTTTTGATGCTGGAGATTTAATGCTGTGTTAATACATAGAACTGGCACTGACTGATTGTTTAAAGTAATTTATCTTGGTCAGAGTCGAGCAGTGGATGAAGAGTCTGCCAGGAGCAGCTTCAGACTGAATCTGTGATAAACCTCAGCACACTGTGGACTCATACAAGTGAAAATAGGCTCTTCTTTGTCCAATCCAGGAAGAAGAGCGTAACCACTTGACAAAGTATGGAGGGAGTAAAAGCAGCCTTTGCTCTTTTCTGCCCACCTGTAAGTGTTGGGTTTAGCAGCTCCACTGGGCCCTGGTCAGCAGATAGTACACTGCTTATCCACCATGACAAGAGAGACTTCACTATTTTATATAACTGAATTTTACTATTGATACATTGCCTTTTATCTAATAGTACCACAAAAACTAAAAAACAGTATTGTAGTAATTAGGACTAGGCATTATGTGCATATTTATCATTATCAAGATAAACTACACTGTTAGAAATACAGGTACATTTTTCATTCATCAAATTACAATGTAATTGTACCCTCCAAAGTACAACAGTGGTTTTAATGTCCAATTGTGTATCTTAAATAAGTTTTTCCCATGTGAAAAGAACGTATTTGTACCCTTTCATAACCTATAGTTTTAAAACAGAACAATAAAATAATAAGCCCGGAGACGGGGTGTGTGGAGTCAATACAACTTAGAAAATATAATTTCAACGGATTATAGTACAATTATGTTCCCTGACTAAAGATACTGAAATGTACCCTTGAGGGTCCCACCCCAGTGACAAGAGGGGTACTGCCCCAGTGACAGATTAGTATCTTTATTTCTGAGAGTGTGTCACAATACTGCTTTTCTGAGCATATCATGGATATCGTCAGTAACACTGACCAAATTCATGTTTTATTACAGAGAAAGCAAAATTAGTCCTGTTTAACTGGATTTAGTGCAGTACAGTATGTGAAATCTTGAATAATAATAACAGTATTTTTTAAATGCGGTGCTACTGGTTCTTTTTCATCTGGTCCAACTGATCAGATGTCAGAAAAACACATATAGTGACATACTGTGTATCATAAGCATTTCTTGATGTATACTGATATTGTATTTTTGCCACATCACCCTCCCTCAGTCTAGCAGCGATTTACACCCATTACACCAATACTGGCATACCAGCATAGATGACATACAAAATACTAGTGTGACTGTTCTCCTACCTGTTTTGGGGTCCACGTCTGTCTGTAGGTGTGGAGGAGGGTTCCCAGGCGTAAAGTGTTCATTGCTGTAGGTGATCAGAGGCGTAAGCGGGTGCACATGGTGAGGGTGCTGTACCACAGGGACCTTATTAGACTATAGAGAGAGAGAGAGAGAGAGAGAGAGAAAGAGAGAGAAGGGAGAGAAAAAAAAAACAATGTTTATATCTCTTAGGGTTCAGGCAGAGAATCCAGGTGCCTACACTTGAGCCACACATTTGTCAAGATCCAACAAAATGCTGTGCTATCAAATTATCAAGCCCTTTGCCTCCAACCGCAGGCCTGTTTTCAGATTAGTGTGGTTTGTAATTAAAAACACCCGCGCCGAGGTGCTGTGCCACAGGACAGAGATCGAAACAGTCATCTGACACTGACAACAGCCCTTGTGGCTGCTGGTTACGCTATACACTCCTCTAACCCCCTGACTGTGCCCAGAGCTATCATCACAAGCACAATCAGAGAAACCACCTAATAAACAAAATGGCAAGCAATCCAAACACACTTCAGCAGCAGCAGCCCACAGCCTCCTGCCTCTCTCGTCCGCTCTCTCTCAGCTTCCCCCTTTCCTTTGGCTCCTGCTCGATGCCCCCCTCCCTCCCACGCTCTCCCCTTCTCCTCTTCCTCCTGGGCCTGGTTTTTGGGGTGGGTTTGCATTATAAAACATGGGGAGGGGAGGTCGAGAAAATCTATTTCTGCGTCGTGGCCAAATTGGTTTTAGCTATGTAATCTGCTCTTTGTGCTCCTAAGTGGCACAGGCCCCGTTTTCAATTACCCAAGATTACAGCTGAGCAGAGGGGTGCTGAAGCATAGCCTGGCATTAGTGGATTCCCAGCACACGCTACCTAACCAGATTATGGCCCTGCTGTAGATTAGACAGGCCCCACTGTGGCCCGGCCGTGGATTACAGTCTGCCTCCATTTCACCAACAATCCTTTTATTCAGGATGCTTTAGATAAAGTGTGGTGGAGCTAAGCTCTGTTGACTAGCAGGAAGAGGCCTGGAGGAGCAATATGGCGGCATTTGGAGGTGAGAGAGCTGCAGTTTGTGGTCTTGCTTCACAGTAGAGGTCAATATGACAATATTTATCATTATTGTGAAAAATTTTGTCACAGTACCCTTTTATGAGCATGTTGTGGATATCGTCAGCTTTTGTACACTGACCTATTGCATGTTTCATTACAAATACAGTATAATTAGGCCTGTTTACCTGGATCTTGTGCAGCACAGTGTGTGAAAGGGGAATAAAAATCACTGTATTCATAGTTGTTGGCAATATTTTGTAAATGTGGAACTACTGGGGCTTCATTTGTCTATTCAAAGTTAGCAAAGCTCAGAAAAACTAAATATTGTGATGCGTATTGTCTATTGAGAAATTGTATTGAGGTATTTTATATTTTATCTACATTAGTGGATATTACTAGATTAATTTTCTTGGTTTAGCCCAAGTATCCAATCATTTGGTAATACTTTAAGTGTGCAGATAAGTATCTTGTCTTTGTTGCACAGTCAGTTACAGAAGTTCTCACAAATGTAACTTTCTACCCAGACCTTTCCAAAACAACACATATGAACATCACCAAAGGAACGCACACACAAGTACACAAAACTCCCAAATGTGGACTGAGACAGGCCAGGGGTGTGTACGCTTCTGCTGACCTGCCCGCAATCATGCATGGCATTCACAGGCTTGATTGACAGCAGTGTGTCTGTGGTAGAGAGTTCAAGGGGACTGCCAGGGCAAGCAGAGACCAGTAGTTTCTCCTTTTACAACACACCCAATCAAATCCAGGCCCCAATGACACACAGTAAAGCCTGGTAAAGTGGGCTGTCACAAAGTACTTAAAAAAACCACACAAAACAATGACGGTGAACATTTGTACAGGCTTTGTGAAAGCAGACACAAGCCATCCTTTTGTCAGGCCTAATCTATCTGAGTCACTCCCCCCACATTTAGAGTGGAAGAGACGAGCCCCTGCATGTCCAAGGTTGACTGCAGCCTGGGCCTGAGCGGTTAAAGCATTCACCCAGGGCCCCTCAGCCAGAGTGAGAGGGAAGGAGGGGGGGGTGCGGAGAGAGGGGCCACACTGAGCACGGGGCGGGGGGGGGGTTCCACTCCGCCATATTCCCAATGAAAGATTAATGAACTGAGCAGAGCTGCTGGGAGAAAGAAAAGGGCTCTGGGGACTCATTCAGGCCCCTGAGCACAGCCACGGCTGGAGAGAGAGTTAGCACGAGAGCCGGGACAAGGGGGAAAAGGAAAAAGTGCAAGAGAGGCTGAAGAAAGAGAAAAAGAAAGAGAAAGAGAAAGAGAAAGAGAAAGAGTTGGAGAACGGAGAGGCAACTCGTTAAAATTGGAAATGGTGAGAAAAAAAATCTCATCATCAGAAAAAGAGATGGGGTGATGACAGCTGCCAAACACAGTTGACGAGTTGGCCATTGAGACAGTAATGCACCCGTCTGCCCACTAGCCCCCCATAACCTCCCCCTCCGCACCACACGCTAGCCCCCCATAACCTCCCCTTCCATAATGATGTGAAAGAATGTTGTCAATTCTCTCTGCGCTGAAAGGCTTTAGTAGCCATTTAAATGAGTTCTTTTGTCCAGGGCCTCTCCATTGAGAGACAGTTCCAAATGGCCGTCCACTGCGGCCACATTCACCCAGAGACAAGCCAAATGATTTACATCACAGTCACTGTGGGTCTAGCAGTCCCCCTTTCAAACACCCTACAGCCCCACAAATAATAGGCAGCCATTCCGTTTATCTGCCTTCTGGGCAGCGCTGCATGTGAGCTCTGCTCGCTACAGTAACGCTCGCTCCACCAGTGCTGGACAGATTAGCAAGATCCTGAAAGGACAACCGGGATGGAGGAGAGGGGAGAGAGCTGGAAATACACTAACAAGAAAAAGAAAAACTCTGGGGGTGAGGCCAAAGTTAAAGCATTTGTGGAGTTCAGAGTTCAGTCAATGTTCAGAATTTTGTTCCAAGTTATTAAACAGTTAACAGAAGGGCTGGGCGATGTGGTAAAAATATCATGATACTTCAAGACATTTTCATAGCCTACAGTGTTCATGACGATATTTAGTGTTTCTGAGGTTTTATAAGTTGGAACAGACAAAATTGTATTCTTAATTTTAGATACTGCACTAAATCCAATTAAACAGGACTAATTATGCTCTCTTTGTTATGAAGCATGTAGTCATTCAGGGTTCTTTAAGTACTGACAGTATCCACACGCTCAGAAAAGCACACTGTGAGGTAATGCGACAGTTTATCACGGTAATGATAAACCTCGTCATTCTGCCCACCCCTACCCTGAACTATCACTGGGGTGGTTCATACGTCTTCAATACCTTCATTTAGGAAACATAATTGTACCACATTCTGCTGCAGTTGTTCTCAAATCTTCATTAACTCCAAACAATCTCTCCAGTCTTTTTATTTTTCTATTTTAAAATCTTAAAATTAAAGATCCACCTTTCTGCGAGAGTGAATGTAGTGTCCCTTATAACTTACCTAAGGTACACAACTGGACCTTAAGACCACTGTTGTACCTCTGAAGGTACATTTACATTAACATTGTTTGTGCCTTTCTTTTTCACAGTGGAGATAATAGTACTTTCATGGAACGTGAACCTAACTGAACCTAACTGAGAACTAAATATAAATAACGCTTCCATTTCTTGAAATATAAATAAAATGCTTCCACTATTTGAAATGTAAATATTCTGTGACATTCATTTTTGTTTCCTTTTAATCAACATCCGTTCCCAACATTACTGTCTCCAACAACCCTCTCGCTCTCTTCCTCATACACGCACAAAAATAACTTGGCAAATGGATAATCACTTCTCTCATAATATACAATCACATTCTCCAAACATTCTCTTCTCAAAAGTGCTATTCAACTCCATTAAGCCCAGAGTCTTCAGAAAATCCCCACTTTAAACATGGCACTATTGACCTCTCTGCTATTGTACAATGGCTTCAGACTGTTCCTCCAGACATGGCTAATTGTTTCTAGCGGTTGCAGGGAGTGAAGACCACCTACACACACTACATAGGCTGCTGCTGGACACAAACAACGCGGCACCCGAACCGTCCTGTTTCTAAACAACAAACTGGAACTGTAGCGATTCAGCAAGACATACGCTCAGCCATTCGTGCAGACTGGTGTTTGTGTGTGCTCGCACGCCGCACAAAGAAAAGAAAGGAAATATGGGGGCGTCTTATTTCTATTATGTGCAAAATAAATAAATAAATAAACAAATAAAAATAAGTAGAGTACCTTCTGTTCACTCTTTTGCCAATACCTCCTACAACTAGCTTCACTACTAGGCAGATAAGAGCACTAAAAGACGAGTTCACTTGACAGTTTATAGAAACCCATTCAAAATTAAACAGCAGACCATTTATTCAGCACAAATACATGCAATGAATGGTTAAAATGAGAAAGAAATCCACTGAATCCCCACAAGAAAGAGTGAGACCTAACAAATAAGAAAAAAAGGTATATTCTGACAAAAAAATCACTTCTTTAGAGTATCTGTCAGTAATTGTCTTCGGCATTCGCGTAAGAATGTGTGAAAGTGCTTGGACCCCTTGCTGCTGGGCCTTGCCAAACCAATGCGACTGACAGTTTATGCTTGGGGTCGTGACCCCTAGTGGTGGTCTTACAAAAGGCCCGGCTGCTATAATGGAGAGTGTGTGGAGAGGCCTGTTTGTCGCACTCGCTTCACTGCTGCGTCTGTCAAGCCCTGTCCTTCTCTCTCTCTCTCTCTCTCTCTCTCTCCCTCGCGCTCTCTATCTCACAGAAAATTGATATCCATTATGACTAAGTGTGTCAGAGAAAGAGACCAAATAAACAAATATTTGTAATATTTTGCTCAAGTACCCTTGAAAATTGTTCTAATAAAAGCAACACATTTGGCTAAATAAAACGGCTTAACTGAATAAGGGCGGATTAGACACAGTTTGGATGTCAAAGGCGAGGGGGTGGCGTAGGAGTGCGCTGCTGCAGGGTTTTTGAGGGACAGAGAGGTGGACAAAGCCGGACAGCCAGGAAAAGCTGTTGGCCTTGCATTTCCGCTCAGTGGCAC